GAAAACAAACAACCCTGAGCTTGCTTTCTTTTTCAGGCCAAAGCCCAGTTTGCAGCACAGTGTGCAAGCTGAGCACAGGAACCAGAGCTGCTGGTTGGGTCTGGGCTGCCTTTGGGCTGAAATGATTTGATTTGGAAGGTGTGGGTAGTTCTGCAGAAGAGAAAAGGTGGAAAATACTGCTGGAGGATTTGGGTGCATTTATAAACTGAAGTCAGATGTGGTTTATGTGTTGCAAAATGACCTAATGGATTAAGATTTAAAAAATAATCAGAAAAATGCTCATTTTTTGCAGTACATTCAGCCAGGAGGGTCTGTCCTTCCCCCACCCCCTCCCCAGTTTTACCTTCCCCTGGGGCTGCCTCTGCAGAACATGGAAAGGGCTGCACACAAATAGCTCCATTACAAAGGGGTTATTTTATTCTCTTGTACAAACCACAGAGGCAGTGGCACTTGGGCAGCCTGCAGGGAAGTGACTCGTGCAGGGACACTGGGCTTTGGGGCAGGGCAGGGAGCAGAGCAGCCAGGGACACCAGTGCTTGGCAGTTTGTAGCTGTGCCTTGATTTTCCATAGGGAAACTTCCAAGCTGACGTGCTCAGGAGCTATGAGGGAAGGGGGTTCTGCTTCAAGTCTTCTTCAGCCTCCTTGGAAGGTGTTTTATCTTCCCCTGTGGGGTTCCTGTAAAAAAAAAAAAAAGCAACAAAACAAGGGAAACCCTGTGATCTGGTGTGGCCTTTCTAGAGTGTTTTTACAAGTGATTTGGTGGGTGTTTTTGTCTTTATGCCAAACGTGGTGTTTTAACTGATGTTACAGAGAGTCCTGCAGACAGAAAGGTGGGAAAACCTGGGTCAGAGAGGACTTCTGGAGCCAGCCTCCTGCCCAGCTTAAGAGAAGGGTTCTCCTGGGCTTCTCCTCAAACCAGCACCTAGAAACTAAAGGTACAAATAACTTCTGGTTTACATTCTCATTTGTGGAAGTTTTTCACAGAATGTTGGTGGTTTATCAACGAGTGCCCATGCAGAACAGGTTGTGTTCTGTTCTAGAGGGTGCAAATTGTCCCAATTGCTTGTTTTCCTCTTCAAATCTGATGCTAAAATGTTATCACCTGCTTATATGATCAGAGTTTGGAACTAAGTGCCTTGCAATGAGGATTAGAAATGCTCTCACCACATTTTTTTAAACCACTTTTCTAAGTCTGGGTATTTTTATTATTTTTTTTAATGGAGAAAGTTGCATTTCAGTGATAGGAATTGCCACAAACTGGATATACTCTAAAATATGTGCTTGGATATTTCATAGACTCACAGAATATTTTTCTCTCTAAAGAGTATTTCTACCCCAAGACAGGCCCACTGGTTCTTTGTTTTGTCAGAAGAGAAAGTTTTACACATAAATTGATCATCCTGAATCTTCCAAGGATAGCATAGATGATCCTGGACAAGTAGGAGAAACAAGAATATGATTGCAACACCCAGAAGAAGAATTGCTACTGTGTAATGTTGCAGGAGGTCACAAGCAATTGGACTTTATTGGAAGGAGGGAGCAGGAAGAGTGATAACGTGTCCCCCTGCGTAAGCAAAACTTATAATCAAGCCTATAATAAATTTGTAAAGTTCATATAGGATTTAATCCAAGTCTTGAAATCTATGGCTTAATGTCCCTTGGTAGGGAGAAAAGGCAAGAATTTGGCATAGGAATGTAAATCCTGGGCTGCAGGATCCTAATTCCTGGAGTGCAGACCCAGTGGTTGCCTGTGCTGCAGGTGTTTGACACACTGCCCTGCAAACCCCCTGCTTAAAATTTAGGTTTAGTCTCTTCCACCAAGGGAGGTGCCTCTTGCAGTGTCAGTTCCAGAGAACACCCACCTGTGTCTCCCAGGCTCTGTCCTGCATTCCT